ACCGCAATGACAGAGCTTGGAATAGCCAGGACAATTTTTTATATAACTCCGACTGGATTCGTCTGAAAGAAGAAAGGCATATACACCTAGGATGACTCGAGGGTGAGTAAAACACAGTCTAATTTTCATTTTTGGGTGAACTAACCCTTTAATGACAATGGAATTGTTCATCACTCAGTCTCTCCTATTAGATCCTTTCAAAAGAGAACAGTGAAACGCACTGTTCCCTTTCAAGGGAACTTCGAACTGCGTCCTCTAGGGGTCGCTATGGGGAACGCCTCGTCGTTACCCGTGTCTTAAGCATACATTGAAAAAACACCAACAACACGTTGGCCAGCGCCAGCCATGACGCTTGGAATAGCCAGGACAATTTTTTATATAACTCCGACTGGATTCGTCTGAAAGAAGAAAGGCATATACACCTAGGATGACTCGAGGGTGAGTAAAACACAGTCTAATTTTCATTTTTGGGTGAACTAACCCTTTAATGACAATGGAATTGTTCATCACTCAGTCTCTCCTATTAGATCCTTTCAAAAGAGAACAGTGAAACGCACTGTTCCCTTTCAAGGGAACTTCGAACTGCGTCCTCTAGGGGTCGCTATGGGGAACGCCTCGTCGTTACCCGTGTCTTAAGCATACATTGAAAAAACACCAACAACACGTTGGCCAGCGACAGCCATGACGTCACTACCGGTGCGACTATAGTATAAATAGGCACCGGGAGAACATATCATCCTCTTCTTCGTCTTCCATTGTAAGCCCTCTTTTGAGGCACGCGTCTTCAGGAATACATCTCGCTTGAATGGCAGGGCATATGCAGCAGCAGCAGGTCGGGCTGACGCTTCATTGCACACGATGGTAGTGCTCCAGGCATATCAGGCTGAACTGATGAAAGACCTAGATAAAGGCGAGGGCCTTTCTCTTGAGCCCGAACAACCCAGGGGTCCTGGCTTGTCTCAGTTTAAGGATCAGAGACGGGCACAGAAGGCTAGTGTCGCGACTCGTGCTCCTCCCCCGCCTGCGGGTAGGGGTAGGAAGAATCGCGGGTCAAAGGGAGGTAGGCAAGACCTAAGGGATGTGATCCAGACAAGGCGTCAGCCCTTTTGTCTGGATCAGAGTGATACTTCAGTATCTACTCATTTCCTTCGGGGGTTTTACATCTGCCCTTATCTTCCCCTTCCTAATTCCCCTGTAACCACC